CTGGGTCCAACAGCAACTGTTCTGGGAGGTCTGCTGTGAGCAACTGAGGAGAAAGAACTCTGGAGTGAATTCCAGTAAGATGGATGGCCCACAGCCAATCGGGCTTAGCCCGGTGAGGTTAAGCCAGTGTCATGAACTTTTCTTGGGATTCTAGGTCCCATGGTGGTGCTTAGGGGTCATTTCTGGTGGGGTATGAGGGACTATGCGGTGCCAGGGATCAAATCAGGGTTGTCTCCATACAAGGCTTTTAATCTTGCATATCTGTGCGTCCCAATACGAAGTCTTCCCTCTTTCGGAGCCACATCTAGTGGTGCTCAGGGCTTCCTCCTGGCTCTGTGCTCCAGGATCACTCCTGATGGAGCTTGGGAAACCACGTGAGGTGCTAACCTGGGCTGGCCTTGTGCAAGGCAAACGCCCTCCCTGTCGTGGCAAACACCCTACCCACTGTGCTATCACTCCAGCCTTGTGCAAGGCAAACACCTCTCTCAGGCCCCAGAAGTCTTCACGGAATTAATCACTTATCTTCTCATAAAAAACCCCCAAACTTGTACTTCTTCTCAGGGCACATTTTAGATTTTTACCTAAAATGGTGTATCCAACTGCAATCTTTTCCTCCTCAATGGACGCTCAATTGCCTCTCACTTTGGTTTTTCAGTTGAGAGCAACAGTTCCTTATAACATTATAAACACAGTATTTAGGAACCAGCTCTTCATCTGTTGGTATAATGAGGGACGCACGGTGCTAAGTGTTGGGGAGGATTCCCGGGCCTGCTTCGTGAGACGCTGATTGCTAGTTCTGAACTTGCCGGAGAAAGCTTGCAGAGGTCTGCTTTGTCCTTGATGAGCAAAGAAAGGCCTCAGAAGAGACAGACACGGAGCTAGACAAGGAAGCAGAGTCACAGACTTCAAGGGCAGTAAACAGCCTACAAATGTTTCCCTCGGACCACGAGGTCTGACCTTTCACTTACTGCCACACAGCCAGCTCCTGGCTGGGTTTTTTCTTTGTAGCATCTTTCATTTGCATCATACATCAGAGCCTGGAAAATCCTCTCAACATGAAAAAGCAGCCTGCACGGGGGATTAAAGGGCACTGCAAGTAAGCCAGGGAGCTGCAATCTCTACCTGGGTACTCTGCAGCTTGGAGCAAGGTCCTGAGATCTCTTTAGAAGGGGTACAGTGGGGTTAATTAAGGTAATGGGATTCTGAGAACAGGATGCCTGGCTGTGTTTAGCGCAGTGCCTAGCACACAGTGAGTGCAAGAAATATTCCCGTTCCTTATTGAAAAACGGCTGGAGTGATGGCACAGTGGGTAAGGTGTTTGCCTTGCACGAGGCTGACCTGGGTTTGATTCTTCCATCCTTCGCGGAGAGCCCGGCAAGCTATTGGAAGTATCCGGCCCTCACAGCAGAGCCTGGGAAGCTCCCCGTGGCATATTCGATATGCCAAACACAGGAACAAGTCTCACAAGGGAGACGTTACTGGTGCCCATTCGAACAAATCGATGAACAACGGGAGGACAGTGCTACAGTGCTATTAAAAACAAAGTATGGAGGAATGACTTTAAAGCAGGAAGTGCAGAGCTGGAAATATGATCAGGGAAGACTCCAAATCCGGTGCTCTTTGGATTACGGAAGAGGAGTCGTGGCAGCTTTGTGATGGGAACCCTACGAACATCCTCTTCCTGTTTCCTCAAAGGTCAGCACATCTCATCAGCTTTTATCTCATCTGTTTCCATGGGTTTCTTTGGAGGTCTGTTTTACACAAGTCATTCAGCTTGTGGGATTTAGCTTCTAACAGCCTTTTTTTTTTTGGTGGCCATACCTGGCAGTGCTCAGAGCTCATTCCTGGCTCTATGCTCAGGGATCACTTCTGACAGGGCTGGCGGAGTCGGGTGGAGGACATGTAAGGATGGAAAGCAACCCTGTGTTAGCACGCACAAGGCAAGCACCCTACCTGCTGTGCTATGTCTCTGACCTCTTAAGCTGTCCTTTCATGAAACTCTTTAAGAAAGGCAACTGTTTGCTGGGTTTATCTTTCTCTTCCTCACCTTATTAAACCTAGGCATTCACGCTGTGTGGCAGGACTTTGATAAAACAAAGAACTGCACCACGACGGAGGATGAGCGTGGCCCCAACCTGAGCTCTGGGTGTAACAGTGACAACAGTGCCTAAACCTTAACACCTGTGCTCATTTCTCCCGGAGAGCAGGGACCATACCTGGCGGTGCAAGAACACCTTGAAGGGAGTAGGTCTGTCACTATAAAAATCTTCCAGTCTGGGTTTCCTGGAGACAGCTCAGTGGCAGTCTATGCTTTTCATGTGGAAGATTCTGGGTTCAACTCTGGAGTGTGCGTGCACATACACACATGTTCGCACACTCCTCATGTAAATTTTCCTGTTTTTGGACATTTCACGTTTCCTATATAGAGACGGAAGGTGATTCTAGATTCCAAAGACAATTGCTTAACATTTGTACCTGAAAGTTTTTTTTTTTTGGTTTTGGGCCAAATCCAGCAAAGCTCAGGGAATTACTCTGTGTGGGGCTGGAGGGCCACACCCGGTGCCAGGGATCAAATCGCAGCATGTGTTACCTCTCCATCCCTGAAAGAAGCCAATAGTACCCGTGCATCTGAAGTACAGTTCAAACCTCTCGAGACTTATTCTAATTCCTTGTCACTTTGGATATATACATATTTGCATGTGCATATACAAACACATATGTATTTTTTTTGCATTTGGGCCACACCCAACTGTGCTCAGGGATCACTCCTGGTGGGCTCAGAGGACCCTATGTGGTGCTGGGGATAGAACCTGGGTTAAGGACGCATGTATTAAGGGAGCTGTTTGCTTGCAGGATTCCAATGCTGGCGGGCAGACTAACCTGGGTGGGGGAGAAGACCAGCGGAGCAGCACTGGGGTCGAAGAGGCTCAGATCTGCTTTTCTCCCAGGGTCCGAGAGGACGCCCGGGGCTTTGCAGGGCGAAAGCCAAGTCCCGGATTCGAATGCTGGTGGGCAGACTCGAAGGGAGCACCAAATAAAGGGTGTTAGGAGGTTCCTCCCAGGATAGGAGATGTGTGATGAGAGTAGACTATAGACCGAACATAACTGCCACTCAACATAACTGTCATAACAGAACATAACTGTCTCTTTTGCAAACCACAGCACTCAAAAGGAGAGAGAGAGAACAAAAGGGAATGCCCTGCCAAAGAGGTAGGGTGGAATGGGGGGGGATGGGGGGGTGGGAGGGATACTGGGAGCATTGGAGGTGGAGAATGGGCAGTGGTGGAGGGATGGGTACTCGATCATTGTATAACTGAAACCCAAGCACAAAAATTTGTACGTCTACAACTATACCTCATGATGTTTCACTAATAAAAAATTTAAAATAAATAAATAAATGAGTGATAGAGATGCAAAAAAAAAAAAAAAAGGAAGCATGTAAAGCAAGGGCCCAACCCAGTGTACTATTGCTCTGGCACCCATTTATAATCTGAATGGCAGGTATTAAAATTATCATTCACAAACACATCTTCAAAATACAGCCAAACCCAGTTACTTCCAGTCAGCTCCAAGGACTGCTCTCAACCAAGCCATAGCCACCTTCACCCGGGTATGGGCACTGGTCTCCTAACGGGGGCCTGTATCACCTTTATCTCCCACCCTGGCGTGTTACTCTCAACACAGCCGTCAGAACAGTCCTGTAAGAATTCAGGCCTGACCAGGGCCGTGACTCGGGGAAGACCACACGCCTGAGGCCCTGGGCTCGCTCCCCGTCACTGCCAACCAAACTTAGGCCAGACAGGGGTGTCACACTTCTCATCCTCCACCTGGAGTCACAACCTGACCTCACCATCAGGGCACTCTCCGCGCTCCATCAATTCCTCCGACCTGGAATTCCGGGGATGCTCTTGCCAGCGGACCCTCTTCCCTACCTAGAAAACCGTTTTCCTTAGGTATCAGTGCCCTGAGTCTCTGCTAAAACAGAAGCTACTGTAAGGAGAAGTCTGCCTTATCCCTCCAAAGGCAAACAAGGCACATCTCTGCTCTCCATTTCCTTTATGTGTCCTTTTCCTTGTGTGTGTGTGTGTGTGTGTGTGTGGTGGTGGTGGTGGTGATGGGGGCACACCTGGCCGTGCTCTGGGCTGACTCCTGGCTCTGTGCTCAAGGAGCATCACTCCGGGCATGGATCGGGCGACCACACAGGGTGCCAGGACCGAACCCGGGTCGGCCACGTGCAAGGCCAGCAGCACCTTAACCCACCGTACTATCATCCCGGCCCGAGAATTCTGGAACGCCAAGCACAGGAGTCCCTGAGCACGCCTGGGCCGGGGATGGACTCGGGAGCCAGGGGGCTGCCACCCTGCAAGCCACCGCCCCGACGGGCGAGCATCCCGGTGGCTCTACACCGGGTGGGGGCGGTGGGCGCGGAGAGGGGCCACCCCAGCTCTCCCCTTCCGCCAAACGTCTCCTCGGGGTGGTCTGCGGACCGGCACCCCTGCGCGTTCCAACCCCCGCGGGGCCGCCTCCCGCCCGCGCGCGCGCCCCCCACCCGGAAGCGCCCCGGGCCCGCGAGCAGCGGCCGGCTGCGGGGGTGGGGAGGGGGTGTCGGCGCGGGCTGGGTCCGAGCGGGGCGCTCCCCGTGGACTCCCGGGGGGGGCCCGTCCCTGCCGGCGCCGCCGCGGCTGCGCAGCATCCCCCCACCACCACACCGGGCACGCGGGTGGGCGCTGCGCCCCGGGTGCCCCTCGGATCCAAGTTTCCGGGCCCGCCGCAGGGAGGGGGCGCGGGGGGCGAGCGGGCCTCGACGAGGGGCCCCTCGCGCTCCGATCCCGGTCCCCGGGGTGGCGAACTGAGGCGCCGGCCCCGCCCCCCTCCCCGGCCCGGTCCGCTAGGGGCCCCGACCCGGGGTCGCCCGTCACGGCCCGGCCCGCCGAGCGCGGCCCCGCCCCAGAACCGCGCCCGCCGCCCGCCGCCCGCCGCCCGCCCCGCCGCCCGCTCACCTGCGCGCGGCGCGTCCGCCCTCGCCGCCCTCCCGAGGCGTCTGGGGCCGAGCCGCGGCGCCACCCCCGGAGCCCCGCCCCGCCCCGCCCCGGAGCCCCGCCCCCTCGCTTCCGGCCCCCGGGCCCCGCCCCTCCCGGCTTCTCAGTGTGGCGTCACTTCCGGCAGCTGGGGGCCCGGCGTCTGGGGAGCGAGCGCGCGCGCGCGCGCGTGCGTGCGGAGCGTCCCCGGAAGGCGGGAGCGCGCCCGCGGATGACAACAAACTCGTCGCGCGCGGCGGCGGCGGCGGCAGCGGCAGTGGCAGTGGCAGTGGCCGTGCTGTGCGTCCCGGGTCCCCGCGTCAGGCCTCGCCCCCCCTCGCCCGGGCCCCGGGGACGCCGCGGGCCGCCATGGGGTGGGCCTGAGGGACGCCGCGGCGCGCCCCGGGGGCATGGCGCGGCCGTAGGACGCGGGTCGTGGGCCGCGAGCGCGCGAGGCCGGGCCCGGGGCCGAGGCGCGGGGCCGCCCCCGCCGCCCGCACCATGCCGTGGCCCTTCTCGGAGTCCATCAAGAAGCGGGCCTGCCGCTACCTGCTGCAGCGCTACCTGGGCCACTTCCTGCAGGAGAAGCTGAGCCTGGAGCAGCTCAGCCTGGACCTGTACCAGGGCACCGGCTCGCTGGCCCAGGTGCCCCTGGACAAATGGGTGAGCGGCGCCGTCACGCCGCGCGGACGCCGGTCGCGACCCCCCCGGGACGCCCGGGGTGGGGGTGGGGTGGGCCCAGGGGGCGACGCGCTTGCTGCTGGGGGCTTCTTGGGTCTGCCCAGGGTGCGTGTGTGTGTCGGGGGCGGGGGTGACCCGGGCTGCCCCTTTGGGGGGGCGGGGGCGGGGGGTGCGCGCAGGCGCCATCCGGGCCGAGCGAGCCCCCCACCCACCCACCCACCCCACCCAGCCCTGCTGGTCCCGGGGGCTGGCAACCGCGCGGGAGGGCGAGTGGGGCCCGGGCCCGGGGCGGCGCCGCGCGCGCGTGACAGGTGGGCCGGGGAGGCAGGTGTTTGCCCGAGCGGCTGCCACCGCCGCCGCCGCCGCCCTCGGACGCTGCTTTTCCAGCCCGTTCCTCGGCCCCCCGGAGGCCGGGTGGGCGCCCCGCGGGGGGCGCGGGGAGGGGTGCAGCCCGGCGTTGGACAGCAGCCCCGGCCCCCGGGGACGGTTTTGGAGCCCGCCCACCTGGGACCTCTGGGGCGTGGATGGGTCTGGAAGCGTTCCTGTGCCTATTGGGGGAATTCAGGAACAGGTGATTTTTTTTTTTTTTTGCTTGGGAGAGTTGTCGGAAGTCCCAGTCTGGATGACTTGAGCAATCATTTGTTGCTGTTTGGTTTTGTTGTGGTTTTGTTTTGGTGGTGCTGGGGCGCTGTGGGCGCCCTATCCCCCTTTTTTTAGGCTACGGGAAACGCTTTTTTTTTTCCCTGTTTGCTTTTAATGTCATCTTTATTTATTTATTTATTTATTTTGGCCTTTTTGGGTCACACCCGGCGATGCACAGGGGTTGCTCCTGGCTCTGCGCTCAGGAATTATCCCTGGTGGTGCTCGGGGAACCCGATGGGATGCTGGGAGTCGAACCCGGCTTGTTGGGCGCGTGCATGGCAAACGCCCTACCCGCTGTGCTATTGCTCCAGCCCCTCATCTTTATTTTTAAATAAAGCTTTCCTTAGCCAGAGAAACCCGAAGAACTCAAGTCAAGATTGCATCTGACAGTGACCCTTCATTTGTGTAAATCTGAATGGGCGCATGGTATATGAATAAGCCCACAGTTGTAGCAGGAAGTCAGCTAGGTAACTTACATGGGCCGGTTTTGTATGGGTTCCGCTGGACCCTGATTTTAGTAACCTTAGTCGTGGTTTGGGAAAGTGACATTGGACGTTGTATTTCAGCCAGATGCAGTAAATTTGGGTGCTGTGTTGCTTTAAAACTTCCCTGTTGGAGGATTGGGATTCTGATGGGTGCTTTTGAGTTCCAGGACTGTGATTCTGTACTTCGGTCGTTAGGAAGGCAATAGGCTTTGCTTGAAGGAGGAAAGTAGGGCAGTAGTAATTGTCTTATGAATTAAATGAAGGGTGTTTTCCATTTTACAAATGGAGTTAAGCGCTTTGTCTTAATCGCACCGCTAGCCAGTGGCGTAGTGAGTTTGCAAGCACGTCTAATTTCTAAGCCCACGGTTTTCTCATTAATTACACGGCTTCACATCAAGGGGCAGATGGCCAGTGTTTGTTGGTCATCTCTTTATTTCAACCCTGTGTGCTAGCCGCCTGTATTTGTGTGGTTTTATTTTCTCATGACAGATCAGGTGGGGATACTAGAACTTCGGGATGGTTGGCAGGATAAGTGGGTTAGAGTTAATCTGAAGATTATATTTTGTTCTTCTCCTTAAAGGTGAGGGATATGCCAACCAAAAAATAATGTCAAATGAAAAATCTGGTAAAGCCATTTTTATTTTTGGGTTTTGATCCACACCCGGCAATGCTCAGGGGTTACTCCTGGCTCTGTGCTCAGGAATCGCTCCTGCTGGGGTTCCGGGGACCCTATGGGATGCCGGGATTGTACCTACTGGCTGTGTGCAGGGCAGCAGCCCTCCTTGCTGTACTGTCACTGCGGCCTCTCTGACCAGCCTTTTTTTTTTTTTTCTTTTTGGGTCACACCCGGCGATCCACAGGAGTTACACCTGGTTCATGCACTCAGGAATTACTCCTGGCATTGCCCGGGGGACCATATGGGATGCTGGGAATCGAACCTAGGTCAGCTGCGTGCAAGGCAAATGCCCTACCCGCTGTGCTATCGCTCCAGCCCCCTGACTAGCTTTTGCTGCTGCTGCATCACTTATTTGTTATGAAGTTATCAGTGTTGATGACTTGAGAAATTATTTTTTTGTTGTTCGTTTGGGGGACATATGCCTAGTGGCGCCCGGGCACTGTGGGGGGGGGGGTGGCTTCTGTAGCTGTGTCCAGGTGGTGATCAGGGGACCACATGGTACTAGGATCTAGCCCCAGCCTCCTGCATCTAAAGGATGTGCTCAGGTTTTTCTTTGACCCAGACTCGATACCTCTTAATGGGGCACTTGGATATGATTTTAAACGTTCTAATTTTTAAGTTTAGCTATTTTTTTCTCCCGATTTTATTTATTTTGTCTTTTGGGCCACACTCAGAGATACCCAGGAATCGAACCCAGTTCAGCTATGGGGGAAGTGAAGCGTTTTATTTTATTTATTTATTTATTTATTTGCTTTTTTGGGTCACACCTGGTGATGCACAGGGGTTACTCCTGGCTCTGCACTCAGGAGTTACTCCTGGCAGTGCTCAGGGGACCATATGGGATGCTGGGAATCGAACCCGAGTCGGCCGCGTGCGAGGCAAATGCCCTACCCACTGTGCTATCCAGCCCCAAGTGAAGCATTTTAACCTGTTGTAATATGTCTCTGGCCTCCAGAGTTCCCTCCTCCCCATCCCTCCCCCCCCCAACCCCAGCAATGATGCTCAAAGGTAACTCTGGGCTCTGCACTCAGGAATCACTCTTGGGGGACCGTATGTGATGCCAGGGATCAAATAAGTGTTGCCTGCCTGCAAGGCTAGCACCCTACCTGCTGTACTCTCTCTCCAGCACTGGTTTCTTCAACATTTTGCACCAGAGGGATTTTTGGTTTTTTGGGCCACACTCAGTGGTGCTCAGGGGTTACGCCTGGCTCTGCTCTTAGACATTATCCCTTTGCGGGCTTGAGGGACCATGTGGAATTGTGGGGATTGAATCCAGGTCGACCCCACACAAGGTGAACCCACTATACTATTGCTGTGGACCCAACATACCTTTCTTAATCTGGTGGAGGGCTGCCACATGCACCATTAGCGAGTGCCATGCTCAGTGCCACATGTTGGGAAGTTTGTTCTGACCTTTAAAGAAGCTCTTTGAAAGCCTCTTGCAGAACTGGTTTCAAGGCTGTAAATTCCCTAAGCTGTTGCCTGTCCATGAAACTCTGCCTTGTCCCTTCAGATCTGAACGATCACCTAGCTGGATGGAGTGTTCCGGGTGAGGGGTTTCGGTTCGTGTGGTTGAGTTTTGTACCATATCCTTCCATTCTCCTCTGTCTGTCGAGTCTCATTTGATAGATCTGCTGTGACTCTTATGGGTTTTCCCTGGTGCTTAAGTTCCTCTTTTGGCCTTGCTGCTTTATAGTCTCCCTTTTTGGCTTTGTCATTTTGGGTACAATGTGCCTTGGAGTTTTCTTAGTTGAGTTTGTTTCCACTGAGGCCCTTCTGGTTCTCTTGTATTTGTCAACTCTGGGAAATTTTGTTTTGTTTTGGGTCATACCCAATGATACTCGCACCAACAACAGGCTTGGGGGACCATATTGGGTGGTGCAAGAAATCAGCCCTGGATTAACTATAAGGTAAAAGGTAAAGGCCCTCCCGTTGATCGTCGATTTGCTCGAGCGGGCCCAGTAACATCTCCATTGGAGACTTTGTTGTTACTGTGTCTGGCATATCGAATACTCTTGGTAGCTTGCCCACTATACTCTCCAGCCCCACCGTCTGGGAAATTCTCTTTTTGTTTTGTTTTCTGCAAAACTTCGTAGACATATTTTTAAAGGAGACAGAACAGCAAAAATTGGCAATTTTCTTCTTTTTCCCTGACTCAAATTACATGGATGTCCAAAGTACCAAACCTCAGGGCTGTTGATTGCTTCCTTACTTTCAATTCCACTAAAGTTTTCTTCTCAACCTGGGGCACTTCCAGGAATTTGTTTATCTATGAGGTACAGGAAAAAAAAAAAAGTCTTTGCCTTCAGGCTTTCGAAGAGTTGTGGAAAGAACTGACTTCGACAAGGAGGATCCACTCAATTTTATTACTCACGCACCAGCTTTAACCTGGGCCCCATGTAGTGCTGTGGCTTTCAGGGAATTCTGGGAAATTATTATTGATGATTTCTTGAGCTAGTGTTTCTTCACTGAATTTGCCTCCCTGATTTTCAGGGACTTTAGTGATTCTTGTATTGTTCCTCTTGCGCTCACCCCATAGTTTTCTAGTATGCTGATCATTTCTTTTCAGGCTATTTTCTGCCTTCTGTTTCTTCCTCATCTTAGAGCTCCTTGACCTTTTGCTCAGTTGCTGATATTCTGCTACTCAGATCTTCTCTTGACTTTCGTTTGTTTTGGGGTCATACCTGGTGATGTTCAGGACTTAATCCAGGCTCTGCACTTTGGGATTGCTCCTGGTGGGCTTGGAGGACCATATGGGATGCTGGAGATCGAACCTGCATCAGGTTCAAGGAAAGGCCCCTACCCGCTATACTATAGCCCTGGCATTCAGTAATTGACTTTTTAAATTTTCACCTACCATGCCGTTTATTTCTGTTATTTCTGACTATAGGGTTTTTTTTTCCATATCAAATTTTATACTTTCTTGTGCTTTGCTGACTACCTGCACCATCGTTTCTTAAACATCCTCATCACGGTGTCACTAAAGTCCGAGGATTTACTGAGCTGGTTGGTGTTGTTTGTGCTTTTGGTGATAGTTTCGCTCCTTAAGTTTGGTGGGTGTCTGAGTGTTTTTGGTTTTCTAGTGTCATTGCTGTGTGGGGTTGGGGTGGGTGAATCTTTATAGTTAGTGCCCCCCTGGAAGATGCTGAGGGATTAGGCTGGAGGCTGCTTTCTTCCTT